CAGAAGACCTAGTTTTAATTTTTGCCAGTACTTATAAGATATGTTAAGGCAAGTTATATACCATATCTTCCCTTATCTGTAATTGGAAAAAGTATCATTGAGCTCTGTTAACGTTGCTGTGAAAACTTAGATGAAACCACAGCAGATGTGCACATTTTTTAATTCTCAGTGAAATCAAAATACCAGCTCACAATTACTCTCCTAGAATGAGTTGCTTTACCACCCTGTGATGTGTACATTAAGGGAAGGTGGACACAATGCACTGGCCCACTGGGTCTTCATTTCTGAACCCTAAATTTTTCCTCACCAGATCTTCATTTTGCTGTAATGGGTTATTTTCTCTCCAGAGCTACCCCTTGAGATGGTAAGATGCTCCTAGACACATAGTTCTCAAAGGGTGTATGGAGGGGTCTTTAGAAACTCCTTGGGCTTTTCTCATATCAGCTGGACAGTTGAGGGTTCCTGTCATGAGGAGCTCCTGAGGAAATGCAAATGGAGGCCTTCCTACTTTGGGGTGTTATAGGATTGAGACAATATTGAGAGTCACAGACGAGTCTTTCAGCTCATCTGTTGGGATGATTTGGGGCAAGCAAAGTCTTCCAAGGCTGAGAACCTAGCAAGACTGCAGACGATAAATAGCCACCAAATACATGCTTAGATGAACACACGAACATCCTTTGTTACATAACAGTTGAGGTAAAATGATTGCACCAGATTCTTAAACTACAAAGAGAACTAACATAAGAATTATGTACGCATATTAACTTCTAGTGTGAAATTTCTAATTCTCCTTTGGATTTTTACTCTCTCAGTCCTGTGACAGTTGTAAATGCTATAATGTAATCTCATCTGTGTATTTTACATGGCCATCCTCAATAAATAGTGCTGACTAGGTTCCACACACTATTTTATAACCTAATTTTCTTTGCAAATACACAGTAGATGAGCAGTGGATGGAAGACACAGTTCCAACAAATCACCAAAGACTTATAAGGCTGGAAAAGGGGAGAAGGACTCATTATTATATAAAGTCAGCTGGATTTATATTTTTGTAAGCAGGTCTGCTAGATGGAAGACTCACGATCTTAATAAGATCAATCACATCCTGTGGTGTCAGTTTCCAATCTCAGAGGTTTCCCTTGAAGGAGGAGACTTATAAGTCTATTTCTTACAGTGAAATTGCTTTAAAGATATAATTGCAAGTTAATTGTTAATTTTTTTTCAAATATACACTATATCATTATAACCAAACCCATGAATCTGCACCTGAGTCCTTTTACAGGCAGTTCACTGTATGTAGGTCTTTAATTTTTAAATTTATTAGTGTATTGGTCTATAGGGAGAAATGTTTTCAAGAAAATTTTATGGTTAATTAATACTTAAATTCTTTGTGTCTTTAAGATTAACTAGAGAATTGAGCAGGTCCAGAAGGAAGTCTGTGTCTCACCATGTCATAAACCCAAGTTATCCCCGTGTGCTTTATGTGCAGTTGCTCATGAGCAAGAGTGAAGACCAAACAGTGTAAAGGAGCAGGTGCATGTTGAGGTGGGAAGATAGAATGCCACAGAATAGAGACCCCCATCTTTGAAGACAGATCAATCAGGATGGTATC